TGTTATTTTGCGCATCGGGGAGACGACCTGCTCAGAACCGGTAACACATCCAGCATCTGGCTTTGGCTTTTCCTCTAGCCTTTTTCCTGTTTCTTCTAACTGTGTATTTACACTTATTCTTCCTAAGTGTGCTTCCAGTGGTTTCCAAAATACCAGCTCTGTGTTACATAGTTCTTCTGACTGTTCTTTTCCCTGTTTACTTCCCTCGTTTCCAAACTGCTCTCTGTAGATCTATTGATGCTATTCCTGACAACCAAAAGTATAAGCAGTTGCAGAGGGAACTTTCTCAAGTGTTGACCCAGCGCCAGATCTACATCCAGCCTGATAACTAAACCAATCCAGGTACCCCCTGCCTGTGAGGTGTGACAACCAGCACTAAACCAGGACTCACCCAGCCGAGACCTCTGCATGATAACTGAGGCCAGAACTAACCCCTAACTCCTGCAGACTGATAAATGACATCTGATCCATGTTTCACCCAAGGGTTACTTCTTAATAGAGCCAACTAAACGTTGTCATTTGACTTGACATGTTACTCTACTCCATTTGAAGTAGCACGCTCTGAAATGTGTCAGGACTTACCACTTCACACTCTAGCTTGGGAGCAAGAAAGGAGCACATGGTCATTTACCCAAAGTGGTGTTAGCTTGGATTTGCTCTATCCATAAGCCCCAGGACCCTGTGCCTTGTGCACCACCACTTTTTTACAGCAGTAGTACACCACCTCAGTGAAGAACTTCTCTGTAATCTTGAATTCCTCCTTGCAAAAAGACATGAAGTCTTGAAACTCTCTCAGTTTGGGGAGAAAAAAAGAATAATCTATGGCTGTGGTACTTCTCAGAGTTCTGAGAAAACGTGAGCTTCCCCCACATCACCTATTGCCTGGTGTACCTTGAATTTTCTTGGAGCTTGAAAATCCAGGCCCAATCGAGCTCTGCTGAAACATTTCTAGCTTCCACTTGCTTGTGCTCTGCACAGCCTCTGAAGGGATTTGTTCATATGCTCTCATTTGCTCTGGAGCTCTGAATGTCTAGGACGCACAGCAGTGACTAACCCTGAGCCAGTTTAACCTTCCACTCCAATTCATAATGAGTTACAGATGTTGTCTTAAACACATTAAGCTGACGAAGGGGAATATGCACTGTTTGTTGATAGTGGCTGAGAACCACTTCTTTAGCCTGTGACAAATGCAAATATAAAATGTATATATTTTTATTAAAGCAGCGGAAGTCTCCAGAGACAAGAGAATGGAAATACTGTTATAAAAATGTTAGGAAAATAACTGACACAAAGAGCAGCCTTGTTTACTGGAGACAGCATCCAGGCAAAATGAGGTAGCTTTGAGTACAGAAGAGGGTGTGAAATATGGCTTATGTGGGGAGAAGTCCTCCCAAACTACATCTAACCACTTCTGTGTTAGCAACTCCTGAAAAGTCTAGTATTACTATTCTATTAATGATCATATTTAAAAGGTTTTTTTCTTTATATTGGAAGCCTTTTACTGTATCATTGGAAAGCAAGGTTCCTCCCCAGCTATCCGACAGGGCAGTGAGCCAAGATGACTTTGACTTAATTATTTTTTTTCCTCTATAACCAAACGTTTAGCAAAAAGAAAGCCCTGCAGTGATCTTGCTGACAGTTTCTCTGTTCTCCTATGGTTGCTTTGGTTTGCTAATTACTATAGGTAAGGTATCAATTGGAAAAGCAAATTCAAGAAGAAACTCTGGGTGCTTTTCTCACTGGTGAATATGCCGGAGAGACATTTTGATGTGGCAGCTCTACCCTGGGTGATCAGTCTGCAAAAAAGCGCAGGAGCTCTGACAGCTGGGCCCTTTTCCCATTCGTTGGTAGAGGCTGGACTTCTCTACCTTCCTGGCGTGGTCCTTCTGAGAGTGAGAGCGCTAACATCTTTTGCTGATGGTATACTGGGATTTTTCCAATCTGTAACATTAAAAAAAAAAACAAGGAATCTCCCTCCAGTGACTGGAGGCTGAGTGAAACTTCTGGGGAAACGTCTCTTTTGGTGCAGTCCTTGCTAGACTTAACTTTGCTTTGGTATAATCACTGAAGTGTTCACTTTGCCTTCTGTTTTCTGTATTAAAACAGGCGAGTTGTTTTATTTCCTCTAAGCCTGGGTTGAGGTGCTTCTGCTATTGTCTCTCATGCCAGAAGAACTGTTAAAAACACCTCCTTTTGAATGCGTTGCCTCTGACTTGTGTTTTTACTTCTTCCCCACAGGTCTGTGCAGACTTTTGCAGACAAATCAAAACAAGAAGCTCTTAAAAACGACCTGGTGGAGGCTTTAAAGAGAAAGCAGCAAAGTTAAAATACTCTTCATGCTAACAAGACATGCCATGCACTCGTTAGATTCCTTTCTTAGAAAACTCATTCCCCTGACCTTTTCTGTTACGTCACGTCACAGTTTGCATTCAATACTATTCATGCAACGCCATCTTCTCCCCATGAATAAAGCTGTACAAACTTTTTCAGTCTCTGAGGCCTACTTTGCACCCCATTTTACTATTGAGACCTTAGGCTATGTTTCTGTAGAAGTCCATGTATTTTTTTCTCTCTTCCACCCTCCCCCATTTATATGCATACACACGGATCATTGTTTGTCTTTTCCTCCCCACCCCTCCTGCCTTTTGTTACATTGGTGTAAAAAATGTAAAACAAAAATTTATTAAATACTGTGGTGTGTGAAAGAGGAAGAACTGGAAAAAAAATCTATTCCACGTATGTTTGGGGGCTGGGCACAGGGCATGGCTGGTGGGAGGGAGGTAAGAGAGGGTGTTCCTTGGTGTTGTACTATACTGACTAAACCAGATTTGCAAGGAGACATTGATTAGGAGACCTGCTGAGTTCTGCTCTTCTATAGCCTGGTTCCAAGGCGCTTTTCTGTCAATTTTTATGGAATGCAAAAGGAGTTTTTGTTTTGATTTTTTTTTGTAAAGCTTAAATTGAATCTACATCTGATACTTGAGCCTCCATACTAAAAAATAAAAAATAATTATAAAAATAAAATTAAAAAAAAAAAAATCCCAGGAAGCAGTGTGTGCAGTTGGTGTCCTCCTTATTTCTCTTTCCCTCCTGCTGCATTACGTGGGGTTCTCTAACTGAAATGCTGTGAACTCTTTGCTTTGTAACAACTGGAAGCAATCATGCTGTCTGGAGGTAGGCGTGTACTGGAGAACAAAGGCGTGCGATGAACTCATCAGTTATCCAAACAGCTGCTGCAGCGTATAGCCATAGAAAGAAAATAAAGCTCTCCCCCCCACATACATATCAGCTGAAACTTGCTTGTTCTAAGCAGGATTTGCTGTACCACAGGATTTGCTCTTTGCACAGGCAGCGGCGGGCAGCTGTTACTTTTGCCATAACTTTCTCAGTGCTGGGATTGGGGTGGAAGTTGGGATCCCATTGCGTGCTGGGACTGGCGCTGCAGGCATCCAGCAAACATGGAACAGATGTATTTAGGGAAGGATTAGGGAGGCTTTGTGTGTGGTGGAAAAATTTGGGAGGGTGCCTGTTTGCACTTCTGTGGGCAGAGGGGCAAGTTTCAGCAGTGCTTGGCAATTTTAGGTGAAAGGTTCTATCTGCTGATATTCCCAAAAAGCTACCTCTGTGCATAGTCTCTATGTAATTCGTGAACCTCATGCCCACACCCCCTCTGCTAAAACCCGTGGTTGGAGGTAGGCATCGTGCATGGTGTCAGGTTTGGTGCCTGCTCGGCTGTGTGCTTTGATCATGGTGCTGGTGAGTGGGGAACACGAGCACCTGTACGCAACCTCAGGAAGGAGCCTTTGGCTGAACCCCTGTGAACGCAAGTTGAGCCCGTTGGCATTAATATTGATTAACTTGCTCTAATTTTCCTTTCCTAATATGACCTATTTTAGCATCCAGACATCTGCAGGTGATTACGGACCTGTGCTTTATCATTTCCCTGGGGCCTCTGCTACGGCTCATCTGGGAGCCAGACTCGAGGGAAGGAGCACGCAGATGCTTGCCTCAAAGCCAGGAGCCCCGAGGAGCACATGTTGAGGTCCTGCTGCTGTTGCCTCTTGGTTCTGCTGTACGGAGAAGGGTTTTTTTGAAGTTGGAGATAAGCCTGTGGGAACTCTTGAAGCTTGAAAAATAGCATCCTAACCCAGGGTGGGGGAAACGTGCAGTTCTCTGCTGTTTCCAGTTGCAGCAGGCACATGCATGTGCTGCTTTTGGGGAGTTTGTTTTCCTTCTCCAGAGCCATCTCTGCACACAAGCCAAAAATGAAGCAGCGTCTGATCCCAGATGAATTAAGCATAGAGGTTTGTGCGGGTCCAAACACCCTGATGGCCCCTGTGCAGGGCTGTGCCCTTTTCACAAACCAGTTTGAGCTGCAGGGAGACGCAAGCACACCATCGGTAGTTTATTCCTCTCCCTGTTCTCACAGCACCATAACCTTACGGCTTGGGTACCTCCAGCTTCAGCTTGGCTTCTGCAATCCCAAGCCTGCTACCGCGTTACGTACCCACTTTAGGACAAGTTGTTTTGTGTCCATGCCTTTTTTAACACTCACCTCTTCGCAAAATGTGGAAGTGGGGGGGTATTTTGAGAACACGGCTGCATTATAATCTCCGAGGGATAACATCAACCAAAGCCTTTCAGGTCTCTGCACTGTGAATCTCCATACACCACCAACTGGATGGTTGCCAGCACAGAAACTCAGGCTGCCAAATGCAGAGCTGTGTTTGCCTGCTCCCATCATCCCCAAAACAGTAAATCAATGCCACATTTACCTGTGCTCTGGATGCACTTTGGGAACAAATTAAATTTTTATATGTATTATTTTAACCTCCTTACGCAGCATTTTTTTCTGGCTTTAAGACAAATTTCTCTAACCAGCACGTGGCTGTTACCCAGCAGGGGACCAGCAGACACAGCCCTTCGTTTCTACAACGAACATGTGCCAAACTCAAGCCTAGCCCTGGTCAACATGGTAAATTCACCTCCTAAGAAAACAACTGTGCCGTCTCCCAACTTCAGGGCATGAGCTAGCAAAAGTGAGCTGCATATAAAAAAGAAAAAAAAAAATCTTCCTTTACCAAAACCAAGCCTCAGGGGCTTCAGCTGTAATGAATGGGTATTGAAATCTAACACAGCTGTGCATCTTCATGGTTTGCCTTAAGTTGCCTTGGCCAAACCCAAATTGTTCCCTTGCAATTCCTAGAGAAAGAAGGCAGAGCAAATGCTGCTGGATGGAGAACTGGGAAGAGGCAAAGAGCCCCAGTTCCTGCAAGCTCAGAAGGGAAAACTGCAAATGAAGGGAGTGAGAAAATTCAAGAAAACTCACCTGCTCTGCCCAAAAAGGTTGAGGAATCTGAAAAACATTTTGCTTTCGGAGAACAAACAGGTAAGCCCCAAGCACAAGCCATTTTGGTTTTTAACCAACATGCTGTTGCAGTCTGCAAGGCTTTTGGTAGTTTCAGTTCCCATTTCATGTAGGATCCATGCTGAACTGTGCAGACTGGGAGCTGTGGCTTGGCTGGCTCAGGGGCAGGAAGAGCGTGTGGTGGGGGCAGGAGCGCGACTTCCTCGGAGAGGACAGGGAAGGATGAGCATCACGGGGCTTGTTAATGATAAACATTAGCGAAAAAAAAAAAGGCAGAAAGCAGGGGTGCTGCACGGGTAGGCAGCTGGGAAGTGCTGGATATGAGGAAAACTGGAGCTGTAAGAAAGGGAAATAAACAAGAGCTAATTTCTAGGGGGACAAGCTGTGCCAGTTTTCCTTTAAAGGCCCTGCAGTAACGCTGGAGTGCCTGGCTGAGCACAGGCTGAGACAGCCACCTGGTGGCTATGGGACAGGGGCAAGTGGAAAGGCAGCACCTTGTCACTGGGTTTCCTGCAGCCACCGCCTTGCTCCCACAGCATGACTTTGCACATCCAAGCACGCAGCCAGGGAGAGTTCCCAGGTCCACGATGTTTCACCTCCTCCCCGCCTCCCTGTGAAGGCTCCAGGTAACTGCAGCCTCTCTTCTCATCTTGCCTTGCCAGGAGGAAGGACCATCTTCCCCCAAAAGCCCATACAAATACAATGTAGGTGAGGTGAAAGGTGAAAAGTCCAAGCATTTCAGAGAACTAATGAGAACAATTAGGAGGCAGGAACTAACAGATGAACCAACACAATAAAAACAAAGGAGGCACGTGGGGCAAGGACTTGTTTATAGAAATCAGAGCCATGCTAATTAAAATACCTGTGTGTGAACCGAAACACTTTGGTTGCCCTGCACCTTCCCTTTGTTCCAGATGGGTTCCAGTCACTGCCCCGCCTTCCAGAAGTTCAGGGGCAGGGACGTGAGACCCACCCACCCCCCAGAGGCGTGCGGTGCTGGCAGCTGTGGCGGGTCAGTCATCTCCGTGCCCTCCCCGCAGCTCCTTTGGCTCTCGTCATCGCTTCTGCCCGCAGCGTGCAAGCTCCACATCACCGCTGAGGTACAGAAAGCAGAAGTGACTGAGGTCAGCTGCGGAGCTCAGAGCAGGGAAGAGTGACCTGCTGAGGTATTGAAAGTTTTTCTGTTTATCCCGGTAGCATCATTGGTATCTATGTGGCATGAGGTCTCTCAGCAGCATCCTGTGCCACCTGTGTTACAGGATACATGTTTTAGCAGCACAAATCACTCGCTGGCTCGCACCCTCTTCTCTCAAGTGCCACCCAGAGAAGAGGACAGGATTGAGAGGCAGGTTTGCCCCGCTTCAAGGCCAGCTTCCTCACCAGTACCTTGCTGCTCTGGCGCTGGGCCGCGCTCCTTTGTCAGCTGTCCAAGCCGCTGCCCTGCCCGCCGAGAAGAGCATCTCTCTCTTCACCTGTACCTGTCTGCCCTTCGCGGTAAGCAAGGAACTGGAAAGAGATCTGGGAAGACGTTAAGGCTTGTCACAGGAATGCATGGAGCTACGACCAGCCCCAAAAAGCTGTTTGCACCACAAGAGGAAGCACGGGGAGGCCTTGATGTGGGTAAAGGGATGATGAGCTGAATTGCAAATTGGTCTGAAGCACTCTGCTGTTGCAATGCTGAATTAGTCACCAGAACACAAGGGAGGAAAGGACAGCCTAAAAGCACCACCACCACGCGCTTCTGCCCAATCCTGGAAAAGCCGTGTGTCACCATCCCAAAGAAAACCATGGGAGGAGAAAGGATACGACCACGTCCAGGGAGAGGACGCCCAGGCTGCCGATGAGCCAGGGCAGGTGGTGCAGGACATAGTCTCCTTCACTTTGCCCCGGCTCGGGGTTCTTCAGCAGCACGCTGGCACCGTACAGCAAGTTCCCCAGCATCACCAGGGCGAAGAGGGAGTAGGAGACGCCAGCGGTGGATTTCCTCTGGTACTGGAAGGAGAGGCCATGTTACATGGGGATGGGGAGAGGAGCTTGGGTGCAGCTCCGAAATCTCCCCACCGCAGTGGCATTAATCACCCTCCCCTGGGAAGAGAGAAGAAGGGTGCTGAGGCACTGCCTTTTAGTTCCCCTTTTGCTTGTAAATGAAGAAAAAAAAATAATAAAGACCATGTTGAAAGTATTGCTGCGTTCAAGGGAGGGGAGAGAAGTTAATCATGCTGCAGAGCGTAAATACAGAAAGATAATCCCTTGTGACATGGTGAGAGGCAGGGGAGCTGCAGACGCCAAGCAAAGAGGAACTAAAAACCCCCAACTAAAAACTAAACTCAGGCTGAGATCCTGGGGCTCGCTGCATCCTGCCCAGCCCTCACTTACATTGGTGTAGATCTGGGGGAGACGGGAGCAGAGGTACAGCACGGAGGAGACAGAGCCGATGGTGAAGCCGATGATCTCGCTCCTGGTGAAAGGCTGCAAGGCAAAGCAGGCTCTGAGCGAGGCCCCCAGCCCTCGGGGGCTCCCCTTCCTGCCTCCCTGGCCTGAGGAACTGGCTCACCTTGGACTCAGGCTCCTCCAGGCCAGCAGAGAGCAGAGACCTCCCTCTGAAGGCTGTGGAGTCGGAGGCCAGGCCTGGGGCCCTGCCCAGCAAGGGGACGGTCGAGGCCGCTCCCAGGAGGCAGAAGAGGCAGGCCACGTTGATGGGAGCCACGACTGCAGGGAAGCAAGCAGAAAACATTTAGGGCAGGCTCCTCCACCCTGGCAGCCCTTCTGCAGGGTCTGGTACCCTCAGATGAACACCGGGGAATAAAAACCCAAGTTCTCCTATCTTCATCTGCGGCTGCAGAGTCTGTACCAGACAATAGCTCGCATGGGATTCTTATCTCACAGCGATAAGGGCAATTTGTAAGTTATCAGGGAGGAAACTGCTCCTATCTCGGTAGACCCAGAACGGTCAAGTTTTAAAAAAGCCCTGAACTCTTTAGAAATCATCTCCCTGTCTTGAAGCTTTTCACACTCTTAACTCGCAGCAGTGCTTGTTCAACTCCCTGCCAGACCCAGCCCTTTTTAAAGGTCTTAAAGGTTTTTAAGATCCTTAAATCTGCTGCTTGTCCTGCACAAACTGGCTCCACCATGCCACCCACCCTGGTAAGGGACAGGGGTAAGACAGGCCGTCTTTACGTAATATTCTGTAAATAAGTTCTCTAGCATTAAGATAACTGTATAGTTGATGAGCTTTCCATCAACTGGTTTAATAAATTGCTTTAATAAGTTAAATAATGTCCAGGGATTCCTGTTTGTAGTTCACAGAAAGCTGTCACACTAAAAATCGGGTTCTCTTGCCATTTAAGCCTCACAAGACCTGCAGTGCCCTGTTCAGGTTCCCTTCCCCCCCTTTATTCCCTCTGAGCAGGGAAGAAGTTCTTCTCCATCCTGCCAAGGCTGTCACTACCTGCAAGAAGGGCTGGGACCCCAAAACAGCCGGCAGTGCCACCACAGCCAGAGGACGGTGCCCTTTCTCCTGTGGTTTGGCAGAGCTGGTTGTGGTTTTCAGCCCCAGCACAGTCACCGTGTAACTGCTGGTGCTTTCTGCACTCCCCCGACTCACGAGGGGTTTATTTTCAACCCATGCTCCATGCACCTTCCCAATGGCTGGCAGGGCCAGCACAGCCCGGGGGCACAGCTGTGCCAGTACTGTTTGTTCTCAGCAAAATGCTGCTTTAGAAATAAATGGGTGGCTTTCATGGGTGGCAGGTCATTTGTGACAAAAGCCAGCAATCAACAAGGGGCATCTAACAGACGATATACACCTCTCCAGGGTCCCTCTACCCCCGCATCCTCCCTCAGCCAGGCAGCAGCAACCAAGCAGCTGTAAGCACCATCCCACCATGCTTCAGCCAAAACTCACATCCTCGGCCCTGGTTCTTAGCTTTGTAGTAGCAGTACAGAGACAGCATGACCAGGTCTGCCAGCACGTAGTACACGGCCGTGTAGACCTGTGGGGAGAGGCGTGAGCTGGTGGTCCCAGGGAAAAGCTTCCCCCAGATCACATCCCTGGGGAAAAGGGAGAGATGTGCAGGTTGGAGGGTACCTGCAGGGGCAGCTGGTTCGCCAAGAAGGAACCGATGAGGTTCAGGAGGTCCCCCCCCAGCCATCCCAGTAGGAAGTATATGGAGAGGGCCCGGTCCATGATGCCCGTCTTGCAGGCTTGGTAGAACTGCCTGCAGAGGGGACACAAACCGTCAGCTCCAACCACTTCAACACCACCTGGGACCCACCCCATGCTCTGGGGCTGCTCCCTCCGGGTGTGAAACCCAGCGTTTCTGAGTGGGACAGAAAATCTGGTTCTTTTGAAGGTATTTCACGGTACTCACGGGAATGACGCGGCGGCAAAGCAGCAGATGGAGACCAGCCCCAGCACCACGCTGGCGATGTCGCGGCCGTCCTGGGCGCACTCGTCAAACACCTCGAGCACCCAGCGGGAGCCGTTGGGGCAATCAGAGCCGTTTCCGCCCCACGAGGCCATGGCAGGCGGCAGCAGGGGTGCTCCTGAGGGGACGCGGGGCGAGAGGTGAGGGATGGAGCCAGGGGAGCTGTGCTGGCATCGACACCCCAACCGGTCACAGCATCACAGAATCATCCAGGTTGGAAGAGACCTCCAAGATCACCCAGCCCAACCTCTGACCTAACACTAACCAGTCCTCCACTAAACCATATCACCGAGATCTACATCTAAACCTCTTTTAAAGACCTCCAGGGATGGTGACTCAACCACTTCCCTGGGCAGCCCATCCCAACACCCAACAACCCTTTCGGTAAAGAAGTTCTTCCTAATATCCAACCTAAACCTCCCCTGGCACAACTTTAGCCCATTTCCCCTCGTCCTGTCGCCAGGCAGGTGGGAGCACAGCCCAGTGCCGCCTCCCTACAGCCTCCTTTGGGGTGCCCGTGCCACAGGACAGGGTCCCCCCGAGGCAGAAGCCGCCCCCGCCCCCTCACGGCACCGGCTTTACCTCTCTCGCTGGCGACGCTCTGCTGCTTTTTTTTTTTTTTCGGCAGGGTGCTTTTTGGGGGAAATCTGCTCCTTTTTAGAAGTTTGCTGTTTGTTTGCTTTCTTTTCTGAGGGGGAAGCTCTGCCGTTTTTATCCGGAGGTTTACCGTTCTTTCCAAACCTCTCACCTGGCGAAAACCTGCCGCTTTCGTCCCCAAACCCCGGTTTTTTTATATATATATTTTAAAGTTTCTTTCCGCGCAGGCCGGGCTCTGCCTCACAGCCTTCCCCCTTCCCCTCCCTTTCCCCTCCCCTCCCCGGGCGGGGCGAGCAGCGAGCAACAAGGAGGCTCCCCCTGCCCGCGCCTGCCCAGTGCCAGAGGCAGCGATGGCGGCGAGAGGCGCGAGACCCGCTGTGGTGCTGGGCGCCATGGAGCTGGGGCGGCGGGTGGCTCCTGAGGGGAGCGCCCCGCTGCTGGACGCCTTCGTGCGGCGGGGCCACCGCCTGCTGGACACCGCGTACATGTACGCGGGCGGCGAGTCCGAGCGCATCCTGGGCTCGCTGCTGGCCGCCGGAGAGCACTCGGGTAACGGGCAGGGGGAGGGCGGTGAGGGGGGAGCAGGGGGCGGAGGGGAAGGGGTCAGGGCTCGGTGCTGGGGCTGGTCCTCTTTAATATCTTAATCGATGGTATGAGGGGATTGAGTGCACCCTCAGTAAGTTCGCAGATGACACCAAGTTAGGTGCGTGTGTCGATCTGCTCGAGGGTAGGAAGGCTCTGCAGGAGGATCTGGATAGGCTGCACCGATGGGCTGAGGTCAACTGTATGAAGTTCAACAAGGCCAAGTGCCGGGTCCTGCACCTGGGGCGCAATAACCCCAAGCAGAGCTACAGGCTGGGAGATGAGTGGTTGGAGAGCTGCCTGGTGGAGAAGGACCTGGGAGTATTGGTTGGTAGTCAGCTGAATATGAGCCAGCAGTGTGCTCAGGTGGCCAAGAAGGCCAACGGCATCCTGGCTTGTATCAGAAGCAATGTGGCTAGCAGGACTAGGGAGGTGATCGTCCCCCTGTACTCGGCTCTGGTGAGGCCGCACCTCGAGTACTGTGTTCAGTTTTGGGCCCCTCGCTACAAGAAGGACATCGAGGTGCTTGAGCGAGTCCAGAGAAGGGCGATGAAGCTGGTGAGGGGCCTGGAGAGCAAGTCCTACGAGGAGCGGCTGAAGGAGCTGGGCTTGTTCAGCCTGGAGAAAAGAAGGCTCAGGGGCGACCTTATTGCTCTCTATAGGTACATTAAAGGAGGCTGTAGCGAGGTGGGGGTTGGCCTGTTCTCCCATGTGCCTGGTGACAGGACGAGGGGCAATGGGCTTAAGTTGCGCCAGGGGAGTTTTAGGTTGGATCTTAGGAAGAACTTTACCAAAAGGGTTGTTAGGCATTGTAACGGGCTGCCCAGGGAAGTGATGGAGTCACCATCCCTGGAGGTCTTTAAAAGACGTTTAGATGTAGAGCTTAGGGATATGGTTTAGTGGGGACTGTTAGTGTTAGGTCAGAGGTTGGACTCGATGATCTTGAAGTCTCTTCCAACCTAGAAATTCTGTGATTCTGTGAGGGCGCGACCCCCGGCCCTGAGGGGAAAGGGGCCGTCCCCTGGGTGCCCCGAGCCTGTTCCGTTCCCGCAGAGCCCCTGCTCATCGTTGCTCGTTTTCTCTCTGCCAGTGGAAGTCGCCACCAAGGCCAACCCGTGGGAAGGGAACACACTGAAGCCCGAGTGCGTGAGATCGCAGCTGGAAGAGTCCCTGCGGAGGCTGAAGAGGACAAGTGTGGAGCTCTTCTACCTCCACGCCCCTGACCACGGCACCCCGGTGGAGGAGACTCTGCGTGCCTGCAATGAGCTGCACAAAGAAGTAAAGTGGGAAGAAGTCCAGTCCTGGACTGTCTCTTGATTCCCTCCCACCACATTTTAAATTGGGATGCTCGCTGCGTTCCTCTGCAGCGTGGGGTTTGCACAGCGCTAGGTGGGGGAAGCCATACAACTGGCACTCGTGCACATTCACCTAGTTCATGTGGTGCACTTTGTTCTCAGGCGTGCTTGGAACCGTTAGAACTTGTGAACTTTGTTTTCAGCTGTGTTAACAGAATAGGTTCAGATGAGTTCAGGTAATGGGTGAAGAATTCCTGAACTGTGTTGACCTAATAGTGCCACTGAAATTGGAAGTGTGAATTCAAAAGGAATGTGAAATAGGGGAAATGTTTTTGTTAGGTCTTATAATTCATAATCATCTGGAAGATCTGGACAGGGATGAGCAGAGAACTCTGGGCTAAATTTCAGTGACTGTCCCTTTCACCATACATACCTTGCACTGTTTACAAACACACTTTTAAAGCTTGGCTTTGAATATCCTTTTATTCCTTTTCTCTACAGGGGAAGTTTAAAGAACTCGGACTATCAAACTATGCAGCGTGGGAGGTCGCAGAAATCTGCTCCATCTGCAAATACAACAACTGGGTGATGCCAACTGTCTACCAGGTGAGGGATGTGGACCTTCCATGGTCCAGCAGATCTTTTGTGGAGGCTGAGACAAATTGAACTGAAAGAATCTGAGGCTTCAGACCAAAACAATGCACAGGTGGTTCTGTGTGTCTTAACAGCAGACAGCAATGGTCGGTCACCATGAGGCAGGGGCTGGGAGCCCCAAGTCTTAGAGTGGCTCCCAGTGTGCCAGATATAAACACAAAAAGGAAGCTGCTGCAGTTAGGCTGGCAAGTCCTTTCAGGACGCATTTCAGGACACAAGTGAAGAGCAAGTTGAGTGAGATCACTTCCAAGAAAAAGCTGAGTATGCACTTTTTTTTTCTGGAGTTAATGAGTTGTGTGATGTGAAACTAAAATAATTTCTACATTATTGTTTGCAGTCCTGTAAGTCTGTTCCTAGGCAGCTAATGAACTGGTATGACCTGAAGCCACTCCTCTGGATAAGATGATAGTATTGTCTGGGAAGGGTGGGGAAAAGGCTGTTTGAGATCCTTTAGTGCATGATTGATAAAGCTGTGATCTATGGAAAGGGGCACTCCCACACCATTTAACAGGAATAGCACTTTTGAGGAGGAATCTTGCTGCTGCAGATGTATTTTTTTTTTTTTTTCAGGAATGAGTAAAAAGTTAAATTATTTTCCCAGATTGCATATCTGCTGCAAGTCCAGATCCCAAAATGCCCAGTTTTGTTTATGAGCAGAAATTAAAATGAGAAGAAAAGCCTAATGAGGGATAGAAGTGCATTGCTCTGCAAATAAACTGTTGCTGCTGGCTGACAGACCTGGTGTCACCGCTAAATGATACCTGGGTGCCACCTGATAAGCAGATCTAAGTCATGACTTAACCAGCCAGGATTCGTGCTGGGAGGCCTGAAGCCATCCTGTGCACATCACTGCTATCATGAGCTAGTGTTTGAGGTTGTTGTCTTCACCTTTGTGCAGGGCATGTACAATGCAACCACTCGCCAGGTGGAAGCTGAGCTGTTCCCTTGCCTGAGACACTTTGGACTGCGGTTCTACGCCTACAATCCCCTGGCTGGTACGGGGAGGGGTGGGCAAGGAGGGGTACTGCGGGGTGGTGTGGGCTGGAGGGGTGTGACCACTGGAAAGGAGAGACAAAAATAGGTATGTGGTCACAGGAATTTGTTAAGGCATCATCCGGGTCAGGGATGCCTGGCTGGTCAAGGAGACTTTGAGACAAAAACACGTGGAATGGGGGCTGTAGAAGAGCCAGCTCATCACTAAACACGCTGCTGACCCTTTGCAGGAGGGCTGCTGACTGGAAAGTACAAGTATGAGGATAAAGACACTCGCAAACCCACTGGAAGATTTTTTGGGAATGACTGGGCTCAAGCCTACAGGGACAGGTGTGTCTTGTACCCCTGGAAGAACAGGGAGGTGGGAAAGGAGTGGCTACATTTTCAAAAAAAACAAAACAAAAAATCAAAACCTTACAGTCTGCTGTGAGGAAGCAAAGCTGACCAAATCTTGTGCAGTGATTCTATGCAGGCTTGTGTCCTTTCTGGGCTGCTGCAGGGCAGCCTTCATGCTGCCCTTGTTCAGGACTGGGGTAACGGCACTGAGCACCTCGCTTCCTTCTGAACATTGCTGGGGCTGTGGCACATGACTGAGCTTTTCAGAGTGGTTTTGAGGCTCAGCTTCCCCGACTTGCAGGGGTAGATTGTGGAAGACCTTGGGGGCTACAGATAACTGTACGAGGCTCCCAAAAGCCTTTCATACTTGTTTAGGATATAGATTTATGATTCACAAGGGCAGTAACATTGATTTCTCTTCTTGCAGGTACTGGAAGAAGCACAATTTTGAAGGAATTGCCCTAGTAGAAAAAGCTCTGAAAGATGCTTATGGTTCCAACCCACCAAGCCTGACTTCTGCTGCTTTGCGTTGGCTGTACAATCACTCCAAACTGCAGGTAAGAGTTTGACCTGGCCATAACCAAGCAGTCTATGCAGCAGTACCTGAATTGGGCAGCTTTTGCAGCACGCAGTGGTTTACTACGTGCCTGTGGACAGTTATCTTTTAATCTAAATATCCTGTGGGTTCATGGTGATTCAAAATGAAAATTGCTGTGCAGTCTCTGCCCATCAGGATGTAGGGGCAAGTCAGCTGTTGCCCCACAGAATATTGTGTTCATAGGATTGGAAGATTTTAAGTGCCAGTTACTTTGGTCTTGGTTTCCCCACCAGCCAGCTTCCTTGCAGAGATGACTTGGCTTTTCACTGACTAGGAAGTCAGTGTTCATATTCCCCAGAATAGCCCCTGCCACCCCCATAAAGTGGGATTTAGCAGCCTTGAGGGGTAGGCACAATTTGGAGATAGCAACTTGGAGTTCATGCGAGTTTAACTCTATCGCATCAATTGCGTAAACATCCTGGAGTTACTGCGTTATCAGAAACATTTAAGGTTTGGCCTGAAATGGCTTGGGAGGTGAGCTGAGTTTCTAAGAGGAATTGCTTACCCTCAAATTGCTTTACAAGGGTTCTCTGGGAGACGCCGTTATCATCGGGATGTCCAGCTTGGAGCAGCTAGAGCAGAACCTTGAGTACAGCGAAGAGGGGCCCCTGCTCCCGCCTGTTGTGGAGGCCTTTGACAAAGCCTGGAACCTGACTGCGCACGACTGCCCCAACTATTTCCGCTAGACTGGGGTAGGGAAAAGAAAGTTGGTGCCATGAGAGGCTCAGCAGGAGGGTGAAGCACAGGTCTCTGGAAGCACAAGAGGTACTTGCCCATGCCACCCCACTGATT